ACAGAAGTGCTTTATGAGTATTTTCTGTTTTATTAATGAGAATTTTAAAAAGATGTATACTCAAGTGTTAGGGCTTAATAACATTAATATTTTTTACTACTTCAACAAGTACATTCTTAAGTGAAACTGGCTTTCCCCCTGCCCTGAGAATGTGTGGTAGTGAAGAGTACTTAACTGCTATTGTTTGGTGTCATTGTCTTGAATCATGCTAAGATTCTGATAGTGTTACCCACCACTGGCTTTGTACCATCAGTACAAAGTCAACACATTGAAAAGGGTAAGTAATTCCTTAGTAATACCTTCAACCTGCCAGACACTCGAAGTGTCTAGGGGACACCCAAAGGTCTTTGGACCTGAATTTTGACAATTGCTGCTGTATACCAATCTCACATGAGTACTGATGCAGAACAAATTCAGCAAGTAGAATATAGCATTATACTAATAATATTTCTTTTATTAGGCTGAAGTGGTATTCCTCATCTGAATGTAAGGATGATTATGTATTAGGAAATCTCCTAATACAGTTCATGACATTAGTAGCCCAGGAAAGAAAAGGCAGATAATGATTTTAATATGGTTTCTAAAAATCAAACTAATAAAACTAAGTTTATAAGCCACAAAAAATAAAACCCATAGTAAAAAGGAATAAATGAATACTTTCTTAACAGAATATATGTGTGAATTTGTATGTGTCTGTAAATATCTTTATTATGTATTGTTTTTCAGACCAAAGTCATAATCTTTCCCAGTGGTAAACAATGAAAGTAATCCCATTAAATCAGAAGCAAAACAAAATTGCTCAGTGTTGTGTAGCACATCATTATCATTCTAACATTTTGGAAACCACTATATAATGTTACCTATCATGATGATAAAGGATATACACATTAGAAAAAAATAGATGAATTCTGATTATAGGTAATACAATTAAAGCCTAGAAAGCCTCGAAACAACTAAAACTGCTGGGAATCATAGGATCTCAGATGGCTGCATAAAATTGTGTGTCAAATTTCAAGCCTTTTCTACAAAATTTTCCTAGTTTTTCCTTAGGAAATACAGTAAGGATAGTAGCACATTTTTAAAAAGTAAAAAGTAAAACTCACAAAAAGAAATATACAAGATCTAATTGAAATATATATTAAAATAAAGGAAATATAAAAATTTAATATTTCTGAGGTAGAAATATTAAGCTTTGTAAGGATAACTATCCGTTCTGATTTAATCTATAAATTCAGAGCAGCAGTTGAATCCCAATAGGATTCTCTTATTTTTGGAGTGTGGCAGTATTGATCCTACATTTTATCTGTAAGGAAATCCTGAGCACAGTAATTAGAGAAATGAGTAGATAGAGGGGTTTATCCTGTCAGCCTCATAAAAAATGTAAAGCTATCATATAGTATTGACACCGGAGTATTGTAAATTGGTAGATTAGAATAGAGTCCCAAAATAATATTTGGGGTTTAGCATATAATACGTTTTAAGATATCTTCAGTAAATGATTTTGGGATAGCTGGCTGTCCATCACGCACAGATGTAGTTATCAGTTCCCGTCTGCTTCCCTAGTTTCTAGTAAATTGCCGTGCCTCAGTATGTTTATTCCATCCTGTATGCTGCTACCAGTTAGATAACTTCACTACTTAGATGTTTTCCCACCACACATAAAATAATTGAAACTCTTTAACTAAGAGGCAATGAAACTGATATTTATTTTAAGGCTATTAATGGGCCAAATGCTAGCTCATTTAATTTCACAGCTCCATAGTAAAATTAATCTCCATTTTACAAAAGAAGAAAACAGATTCTTATGCAGTGTAGTTTGATCAATGTCACACAGAATTCAGTTCTAAAGTTTGTTTTCAAAGTTTGTCTTCATTATATTGTTGACCCTTGAAAACAATGGGGAGTGGGGCACTGACCTCATGTGCAGTGGGCACCGACCCCATGTGCAGTTGAAAATCAACATGTAACTTTTGACTCCCCAAAACTGAATTACCATTAGCCTACTATTGACCAGAAACCTTACCAATAACAGAAGCAGTCAGTTAATACATATTGTGTTATACGTATTATATACTGTATTTTTACAATAAAGTAAGCTAGAGAAAAGAAAATGTTATTAAAAAAATCATGAGAGAAATACAGTATTTATTGGAAAAATCTGTATATAAGTAGACTTGTATAGTTCCAACTTGTGTTAAAGGTCAACTTTAGTTAGGCAAACTGCCTCTTAAATCTCTATTGTGTGGCCTCTGTTTATCTTACAGATAAACTTCAGTAAGCTTAATAAATTCCTCCTGTGTTGATTTTCTTAGTTCTCCTCTTAAATGTTTATATTTGGCTACATCCATGCCTTTGCCTGTGCACTTGTCTTTGCCAGTAACATTTCTCTTAATCCCTGTCAATTGTTTAAAGGTTATGGTTCCCAAACTGTAATTTAGTAAGAGAATATACATGTAAACAACTAAAATATAAAGCAGGATGAAATAATGTCAAAAGAAACAAGTAGCATGCAAAGAGGGATACTTTTGAGTAGCATTGGGGATACAGAAGACTACTGTGAATGGATTACTTTTCATCTGAATCTTGAAAAGTGAAAAAGATTCAGCTTTGTAACATCTAGGGAGAAAGGAATATGAGCATCGATTGGGAGGCATGGTTGGTCTGTGGGGAGAGATGAGTTGGAAGATGAGACTAGGGAAGGCAGTTTGGGACCAGATCATAAAAGGCCACATTACTGAGTTTGGCCTTCTTTCCTAAGAAAACCATTGTATTTTTTAGGAGGGTGCAAAAATTGGGTTGTAAGAAAGAAAAGACTGGGAGTGGACAAAGAAGATTTCTATAGAAATCCTAAATTATAGTAGTCCCACTTATCTGCGGTTTTGATTTCAGTTACCCAAGGTCTGAAAATATTCTAGAAGTAAACCATAGTTTTAAATTGTGTGCTGTTCTGGTAGTGAGATGAAATCTCACATCATCCCATTCCTTCCCATCCGGAACATGAATCATCCCTTTGTCCAGCGTGTCCACGCTGTATAAGGGTGAGTACAGCATAATAAGATATTTTGAGAGATCTCTGGCTAGTGTGGTTCAGTTGGTTGGAGTGTCGTCCTGTACACCAAGAGGTGGTGGATTCTATTCCTGGTCAGGGTACACACCCAGGTTGTGGGTTCGATCTCCGGTTGAGGTGTGTGCAGGAGTCAGCCGATCAGTGTTTCTCACACTGATGTTTCTCTCTCCCTTCCTCTCTGAATTCAATAAAAATGTTTTTTCTTTATTGATTTTTAGAGAGAGGAAGAGGGAGAGAGAAATAGAAACATCGATGAGAGAGAACATCAATTGGCCGCCTCCTGCACATCCCCCACTGGGGATCAGGCCCACAACCTGGGCATGTGCCCTGACCGGCAATCAAATCAGTGACCTCTTAGTGCGTGGATCGACGCTCAACCATTGAGCCACACCTGCCGGGCTGAAACCAACACAATTTTAAGGAATTATAAAATAAAAAAAATTTATTTAAGAAGATATTTTGAGAAAGAGAAACCACATTTATATAACTTTCATTATAGAATATTGTTATAATTTTTGTATTTGACTATTAGAGTTGTTAATATCTTGCTGTGCCTAATTTACAAATTAAATTATATTATAGGTATGCATGTATGTATGTATATATGTATATATAGGGGAAAACCATTGCATACATAGGATTTGGTACTATTCATGGTTTCAGACATCCACTGGAGATCTTGAAACATATCCCCCATAGAGAAGAGGGATTACTGTACATTGAAACAAAAAGCACAGTTTGGGTGACATATAGATTTGAAAATGTAGAGGTTCTCTTACATAATAAACACATATTTCTGAGGTAGCATTCTGAAGCTCTTTAAAGAATGTCTGACAATTTTAGTTGTCAAATGCTTATGCACATTGGTGCATACATTTATATTTATCTATGAGTATTTTATGTTTAGTCATTGATGCATGGACCTTTTCTTTTTACATTTGAAGACCAGCGGGTCATTTTATATACAATGTACATTTATCCTTAAGATTCAGTATACTCAAGTTAAGCACATTTAACCAATTTTTAATCTACATATTACCAAAATCCATTTTTAACTGTTTACCAGCTGGAGTTACCTATTTATTGTAGCTTTCTTTTATAAATTGTTATAACAAAGACTAATTAATACAAAAATTATGAGGATTTTTACCCTGGCCAGGTGACTCAGTCGTTTGGAGCCATTGTCCCATACACCAAAATGTTGCAGGTTCAACTCCCGCATTTGGGAAGCAACCAATCGATGTTTCTCAGGTCGCTGTTGTTTTTCTCTCTCTTTTCTCTCTCAAAAAATAAAAATAAAAAAATCAATAAAAACATATCCTCAGGTGAGGATTTTTTTTTTAACTTTTAAAAAAATGAGGATTTTCAAGATATAGATAAGCAAAGTAAAGCAGCTAAAATGTCTTAGTATCTTGAAATCTGTGGCATAATTTTAAAGAACTTACATGTTTCAAGAATGTTACTTTTAGGGTCCTTTAGTAAACAGAATTCAACAGTCTTTATTTACAGTATACTTAAGTTCCTAAGTGTAGTATATATGTTTCTGCTATTTATTGCAAACTTCATTATATTCATGAGAAAGGTAATGACAGGTACCTATAAAACCAGAGAAAGACATATACTAAACTAGTTTCTAATTTATTAACATAAAATTTTTTATTTTGGTTCAAAATATGATCAGCATATTTTGAGTGTTACCTTTGTTTTAAAATTTGATTTTGTAAATAAGGTTTTCTTTCTAGGAAATGGAATGTTTGGAGTATTAGAAGTATCCACTGAAAATAAATTGATTTAATGAGTAATTAGGTTGTGATGACTGACATATTTAATGAAAATGCTTATGTCAGGACTTAATAAGTTAATGTTTTGTATAGCAGCTGCATGTATTATTTTGTCTGTGTAGTTTAGTGATGTACTTTTTTTGTGTGTTTAGCCGTATATGTGGGAGTCCATGTCCTGCAGTGTGGCCTGATGTAATCAAACTACCGTATTTCAACACCATGAAACCAAAGAAGCAATATCGTCGAAAGTTAAGAGAAGAATTTGTTTTGTAAGAAGAGGGTGCTTAAACATCCATATTGCATTGAATGATTTTTTTAAATTTTAGTTATTATTGTGAATTCTAAATGTCACTATCCTCTGTTGACTCAAAGTAGACCTATCACAATTTTTCTTTGTCATTTTATTTTGAGTTCCTTTTGCTACATACAAATTACCATTTCATCACCATTATGGAATCAGTGGTTTGGGTTAGAATATTAGATTTGGTGCTTACATGAAAAAACATTAATATTATTATAAATTTTATGGAAACATCTTTCAAGTTACTTGAGCTTCGGTTTTTATTTAGTTGTAGTTAAACTATTCTATTTAGTTCTTAATTTATGTTATAACACCAGATTTCCCATATACTGTTGTTTGCCAAATATAAATTTATTTAAAGTAATAGTTACAAAAATATATGGAAGTATTATTTCAAAGGAAAATTGGTATTTACTGGAATAAAGTATTATAAACATGTTATAAAATACTAGTATTTGAAAGCTTCTAAAGAAACATGATTAAACATGTCAAAGAACATGTATGACGTTTATAATCCTCTCATGTCAGTATTCCTGCAGCTGCACTAGACTTATTTGATTACATGCTCGCCTTGGATCCTAGTAAGCGCTGCACTGCAGAACAAGCTCTTCAGTGTGATTTCCTACGGGATGTGGAACCCTCAAAAATGCCCCCACCAGAGTAAGTGACTTTTTATTATTAGATCCTATATATAAAGAATCTGGATAGTTTTAATAATATTTATATGTAACTTTCAGGAGCTTTTCCATGATTAGTTAAGTCAAAAGAAATAGAATAACAGTAAAACATATAATTTGCTAATTTAGAATGCTTAATGTTCAGCTAACCATAGGATTAGCAAAAATAGCCTTCCTCTAGCTAATTTTACTAACATATTTTAACACTAAGAAGATATTATTGCTGCAGCTTATTGTTGTAGTACCCATACTGCTACTGCTTATACTATTAGTTGCTATCGCTAAAAGTTTGAGTGCTAATGATAAACATTTTTCATGTGTTACATTAATTTTTATAGTCCTCTCAGGTGAGTATTATTATTATTATCACTATTTAACAGAGGAAGAAGCAAGGCTCAAGGAGGTTAAAAAACTTGCCCAAAAATACAAATATAGTAAAGGGTGGACCCAGCTCTGAAATTCAAGTTAATCCAGTAAGAGAAAGACGTTCTGAAATATTCCTTGGCAAACTGTATAATAAAAATTTTTTATCATTGGATAAAAGAATATTAGTGTTGCCCTGGTTAGTGTTGCTCAGTGGTAGTTAGGGCATTGGCCCATGCACTGAAGGGGTTTGATTTCTGGTCAAGGGCAAGTACTTGGGATGCAGGTTTGATCCCCACCCCAGTTGAGGAGCATGCAGGAGGCAACCAATTGATGTATCGTCAGTTTCACATAGATGTTTCTCTCTCTGTCTCTTCTTCCCTCCCCTTCACTTTCTCTAAAAGTCAATGGAAAAAATATCCTCGGGTGAGGATTAAAAATATATATATATATATATATATATATATATATATATAGTTACGTAAAACCTATAGAGAATTGTGTATTGTCAAGTAGGAGTGGTGAAATGCATAGAGTTTGGGAGTCAGAATAGCTAGGTTCTTGAAACTTGACTCTTGTATTTCTCTAAGATCAGTTTGTGGAAAGAGGAGGGGACGAAGCAGCTCATTTGGTTCTTGGTAAGCTCTAGAAACTTTGTAGGGATTTTCTTAATAATTTTAAAAATGCTAATGAGCGTCTTAAAGCAAGCCTGTGCCTATAATAATAAAATGTTTCCATGTAATACAGTTAGCATATTATAAATGAACAAACAGGGGCTTTGGAGTTTGAATCCTGATTCTTCCACTTATCACTAGATTGGACTTACTGTATTTCTGTGAGAACATCATATTCAGCTTCATTAAGTTTTTGTTGCATATGAATAGCCTTTGTGGAGATGATTTGAAAGGCATAAAGGATATATCATCTTACATGTTGAGAGACCTGAATTATTCATTATTGAATGAATTGTTTCATGGGGTTTTGTGAGTTTTGTTTTTTGTTTTTTGTTTTTGGAGGGGGGGTTGGCTTATCAGTAGATATTAGTAGTTTTGAAACCTTGTCTCTAGTATCCCTTCAAGGAATTTTTTCAACTTTGGATTTGAAATGTTTTTTTCATTTACATTAGAATAGAAAAATAATACAATGAGCAATTATTATATCCTTCACCTAGATTCAACAGTTATTAATATTTGAACATATTTGCTTTATTGCTATATACAAACATTTTTTAAAATATGTTTTTATTGATTTTTAGAGAGATAGGAAGGGAGGAGAGAGAAATGGAAACATCAATGAGAAACATCTATTGGCTGCTTTCTGCATTCCCCCACTGGGGATCGAGCTCACAACCCAAGCCATATGCCCTGACCAGGAATCAAACCGGTGACCTCTTAGTCCATGGGTTGACACTCAACCACTGAGCCACACCAGCTGGGCTAAAGTTTTGTCTGAACTGTTTGCATATTATATTGTGGAAGTTACCCTTTTTATAAATGATTCACATGTATCTATAAGAACTAGGACTTAATTCTGTATATAGTAACATTATAAAGCATAAGAAATTTAACATTGTAGTATCTAATAGTCCATAGTCAGATTTCTCCACAATAATTTCCTTTCTAACCCTCACCCCCCACCCCCAAGGCAGGGCTGGAATGAAGAACTCATTTAGAGTTTACCACTTAGTTGTCATGCTCTTCAGTCTTTAATCTTTGGGGATGATTTTTATGACATTGACATTTTTTAAGAGTCCAAGCTAGCTGTTTTGTAAAACATTCTAAAATCTGCCTTTAACTGCTTCCTTTTTTTTTTAATCCTCATCCGAGGATATTTTTTTTTTCCCTATTTATCTTCAGATAGAGTGGGAGGGAGAGGAGGAGGGAGGGGGGGAAAGAGAGAGATCGATACATGAGAGAGACAATTTGATTGGTTGCCTGCACACCATCCTGACCATGGTCTGGGACCAAGCACAGCCAAGGTACATGCCCTTGGCCAGAATCAAGCCCTTGACTCTTTGGTCTCAGGACTGACGGTCTAACCGTTGGGCCAAACTGGCCAGGACTAACTGCTCTCTTATGATCAGAATTAGAGTAACTTTGGGGGGTGGGGCAGAGTAAGAATACTACCTAGGTAGTAATGTGTACTTCCTGCTGTATTATATCAAGAGTAATATAATACCTTTTTTTTTTCATTATTGGTAATGCTAAGTTGATCTCTTGGTTTAAGTAGAACACATGAACGAATTGTAGTAAAACTATCAGAGTACGTTTTTAATTGACATCTAAACTTTTTGAATCAAGGGTTTAAATAGTTGCAAAAGATGTAATTTTCAGTGTATCATAAATGTTGACTCTTAAATGGAGCTGTTATATCACTCTTAAAAATATATTCAGTGCAGTCAAAATATCTTAGCATCTTTATATTCACCAGCATTCACTTAGAAAATGTATGAAGCCCTATCAGTATGGCTCAGCTTAGAGTGTCAGTCCGTGGATCAGAGAGTCCACAGTTGATTTCGGCCAAGGGCACTTACCTAGTTGTGGTTTTTCTCCGCCCGGTTGGGGTCCTGGGGGGGCAATTAGTCCACGTGTCTCTCCCTCGAATCAGTGTTTCTCTCTCTTTCTCTCTTCCCTTCTCCATTTCTCTCTCCCTCCCTCCCTCCCGCTCTATCTGAGGATGAATGGAAAAATATCCGCGTGTGAGGATTAAAAAAAAAATTAAAAGAAAATGTACAAAGAAATTCTAACAATTTGACATTGTTCTGTTTTCATTTTGAACTTATATTGCTTCTGCAGCTTTTTAATGGCAACATACATTCTCACTCAAAATTATATTGGTTACCTTATACATGTTTAAAACATATGTATGCATATAAATTGAAATTTGATTTTTAAAATTTGACTACAAAATTATTTTTCTTCTTGAGTAATTTGTCATTGCAAATATTAATAGCACATATTTTCGTTAAGAAAGAAAATATAGCCCTGGCAGTTTTGCTCAAGTGGTTAGGCAGTCGTTCTCAACCTTCCTAATGCCACAGCCCTTTAATACAGTTCCTCATGTTGTATGTGGGCGGATCTGCATTTGGGCAGACCTGCTTGGAGACAATAGAGGAGCGGTGTCTTGGTTCCTAAGACCATCGGAAATATGTATTTTCCGATGGTCTTAGGCAACCCCTGTGAAAGGGTCATTCGACCCCCAAAGGGGTTGTGACCCACAGGTTGAGAACCGCTGATAGAGTGTCAGCCAGCAGACCAGTGAGTTGCAAGTTCGATTCTGGTCAAGGGCACATACCTCAGTTGCGGTTTGTCCTAACCCTGGTCGATGTCATGCAGAAAGCAACCAGTCCTTGTGTCCCTCTCAGGTGGATGTTTCTCTATCTCTCCCTCTCTTTTCTTCCCTCCCACTCTATTTGAAGATAAATAGAAAAATATCCTTAGGTGAGGATTTAAAAATATAAATTAAGAAAGAAAAAATATTGCTCTGGCCGGTTTGGCTCAGCGGTTAGAGCGTCTGCCTGTGGTCCAGAGAGACCCGGGTTCGGTTCCTGCTAAGGGCACATATCTCGGTTGCGGTTTGTCCCCGGCCCTGGTTGGGTCGTGCAGGTGGCAGCCACTTGATGTGTCCCTTTCACGTCGATGTTTCTCTCTCTCTCTTCCTCTCTCCCCCTTCCGCTCTATCTGAACAAAAAATGAAAAAATGTCCTTGGGTGAGGATAAAAAAATAAATAAATAAAAAACATTAAAAAAAAAAGAAAAAATATTAAATTTTGTTGGCAATGAAATCTAATGAAATAAAGGCTGAGATTTTTTTCCCCATGTAATTTGCATATCTATCAATTAATATTCTAGAATGTGACAGTTCCACATTAATGTTAATATTATTTTAATAAGTACCCTTGTAAAGAAGCATTTGAGAATAGGTGGAGTTTTGTCATAGTTATATCACTGAGTTTTAAACTCCTTCCATGTTATGTCCCCCAAATCGCATAATAATTTGTCATCAAAAATTATTTTAATGACTTTTCATATGTAAACTTAAGATTTTTTCTCCTTTAAGTTTTTGACAGTAAAGCCTTGGAAACCACGTGACTTGCTAAAAGATATGTTATTTAGTCATTAATCATTTAATTTTTCAAATTATGGGAAAGTAAACCAAAGAAGCTTTACAAATACTTATACTTGTTACTTTTTCTTTCATTAGTACTTGTGTAATCCAGTATACTTAGAAAAGGCTAGGAAGTTAGCATGTCATGTCATTGCTACTTTGCCAATCAGTTTATTAAATTGTGTTTCTTATACATTTTTAAAATACATGTTTTTGTCAAAACCTTGGAACTTCAGACGTATCCCATTCAAATTATGGAAAATGTCTGCCACATAACCCAATTGGAAACACTGTTCATATTGTCATATGTAACACCTAAATTCACTGTTTTTATCAGAACATACCTGACTGCCTTTTTTTCCATTAAAAATAAATGTAAACATGCATTTTGGTGAAAATTTTGTAAACCAGTAATAAATTATGAGATACATCAAATTTTGTTATATATATCACTAAAGCAGTCAGGTGAAATTTATAATGGTGTCAATCTAATATTTAAATAAAAAGTTATATAAAAAATATTACCTCTCATTTTATAATATGTAATAGTTAAAATTATTTATTTGCTAAGGACTGTGAAGAAAGGCATGGTATTCCTTTTTTTTTTTTTTTAAATCCTCACTTGAGGACATTTTTCTATTTTTTGTTCAGATAGAGTGGGAGGGAGGGAGAGAGAGAAACACCGATGTGAAAGGTACACATTGAGTGGCAAGGCATGGTGTTCCTTTAGGAAATATGTGTATGTACTATATTCTCTGATCAATTTTTTAGGAATATTCAAATGAGAATGGGGTATAAAAAACAAAAAAGTAACTGTATTGTATTAGATGTCCTCTCAAACTTTTCTGAGGTATTTAATTGAAAGAAAAAAAGTATATATTGCTAAAAAGTGAATTAGAATGGAAGCTAATGTATAATTTTTTTCTCTGAATAGCAAGTATAAACATTAAACAATTCATGACATAATATGATCAACTGTATTAGAATAAATATTTCATGATGTGATTTGATTTAAAAAAATAGCTTTAAGCTACCTTATTGAATGATGATCAGTGTAATCAAACATGAGAATAGTGCCTAACCATGTCTGAGCACTTACATATGTTAACATATATTACCTCTACCCCATAATGTATTGTTATCTCATTTTTAAAGACAAGGAAACTGAGGCACAGAGGTCATTACTTGCCTAATGAGACACAATAAGTAAGTGACTGAGCCAGTATTTGAACCTTCGGAAAAGTACATAAAAATGTGTTCATCCTAGTTTTATTCCTGGTACATCTGTGAGTCAGCATCACTAACTTACACTGTTTTAGCTATTTGTTGTGTGATGTTTATCTTTCCTAAAGATGAGTGTTGAAATCATTCATAAAGAATCTCTTTCCTTTAAATTGTGGGAGGGAACAAAGCCCCTTTTGATGGATTTTTTTGCTTTACTCTCATGGAACTCTTTCACAGGATCTATACATTCCCTGAACATTTGGATGGTGGAAGTTACTACAGTAGTGCAGTACATCTGAATTCAGAATATCCCAACAGAGACTAAGGCTAAACATCTTATAATACCCATGTGCGCGTGCGCGCGCGCACACACACACACACACACACACACACACACACAGAAAGAGAGAGGGAGGGGGAGAAAAAGGAGAGGAAAGGCTTTGGCGGGATTATGATGCCTTATAGCTTCCCAATATCAATATTTCAAATTGTCCCTTTGTTTGTTACTCCAGGAGGTTTTTACACGCTGAGGCAATGCACCATAGTAAGATGGCTGAGAGGTATGCCTTTGTTTTGTTTTTGGACCTCAGGTGAATAGACTTGATTTAATCATAATCCTTGTATCACTCATCATTGGTCCATGCATGGCTCTCTTTTTTTCCCTTTAGTTACTTAATTTAATTAGTTATTTTAAATGATGTTGATAAATAGCCATGAGCCTACCAAATGAAAGCTAGAATCTTGAAAATAACTTTCTTTAATCATACCATACCCTTCCTTCCACACACACCCTACCTTATGATCTATGTCCCCTTGCTTTCCTCTGCCTGAGGTAATCATCATTTCTGTTTTCTTTTGTTGCCATTTATATGCACTCATAACAATTTATATTTTAAAATTTTAGTTGTTTTTTATAAAAGCGTGTCATGCTGTTTGTAATCTTTTGGGAATGACCTTTCTTTACTTAATATTGTATTACATTGCTAAGATTCAACCATGTTGTTGCATATACCTTTCTTTTATAACATGAGATAAGAGTAATTGTAAAAGAGGAGGTATGAAAGAATTTGCTGAATGTGCGAGCCATTCTCAAAGATTTAGGAAAGAGGACATATAGGTATAGAAATCCTTTTAAAACAATTTCAGATGTACTTCATTAGAAAGTCTTCAAGTATCCTTAGAGGACAACATATACAGGTTGAAGACTGCAGGCATATATCACTAGGTCGGGGCTTATTAAGGAAATTTGTAGTTGTTCTGGGCAAGTTTATTAACCTTTCCAAGCCTTAATTTTCTCATTAAATAGATGTAATAGTAACTTCCCATTGGATTATTAAGGTAAAAAGAAAACATTTATAAATCAAATATTTATGTCTTTCTTTACACAAAAGTTATTCCTCACTGTTGTCAGGTTTATGAAATTACATTCAGGTAGAGTTTTTCATAATTGAGGGTAATTTTGATGATAGTTGCTAGTTATTCAGAACTTTTTGTTGATGAGTAATTAGCCTGGACTACCTATTTTTGAAACGCCTCTAGCATCAGTTTAATTCTAGAGCATTTGCTTACAGAACTAAATATGATGGTATTAAAAAATTTAAAGTTTTTACTAGATACTTTTTCACAAATGTTATTTATGTCCTAGCCTTCAGTACTTTTTAATCCTATGTCTAGTCTAGTTTCTGCAAATAGCATATTTTTTGCTTTCTTTTTTTTTTATATTGTATTCACTGTATGATATACTATGATAAGAACTGGCTTTAAAAGATTACACCAACTTTTATGACCATACATTCTTCAGTTATAATTTTAATAAATGATTATTTATTGATTATTCAGAAGCCACAGAATAAGAGTCTGTCTATAAAGGTGAAGTCCCGAAGGAAGGTGGGGCATCAAGGTCAATTTTTATTGTAGCAATTTGTAAAGCCTGTGTTTGAAGTCTTCAGGAATAACTGAGGGGGAGGAGGAGTGGCAGCTTTGTTGTTAATAAATATTAGCATTTTTTTGTTGTTAAGAAATGTCACTGACGAAAATTTTATTCTTTTTTTTTTCCAGCCTTCCTTTATGGCAAGACTGTCATGAGTTATGGAGTAAAAAGCGAAGGAGACAGAAACAGATGGGCATGACTGATGATGTTTCTACAATTAAAGCCCCCAGAAAGGACTTGTCTCTGGGCTTGGATGACAGCAGAACGAACACACCCCAGGGTGTGCTGCCAACTTCACAACTGAAATCTCAGGGCAACTCGAATGTAGCACCTGGTCAGTAATGCTTCTGTGGGTTGGTTTTCTTCCAATTATTTTGTGGCTACTGTTGATTATGTTGTTCTAGTGTTAAAACACGTGAGGTAGAAGTTGAACATTAAGGTTTATTCACCAAACTTGACATTTCCTTATTTGCTTGTGCCAGTACAGATGTGTCACTAGTATTGGCACCACAATATGAAGGCCTCATATTACACTGGACGAGTCATTAGTCAGATTTCTCTACTTCCTTTTCTCTTCCATGCAGAAGCCAGTGGGTCTTTTACTAACACTATTCTCACCGAGGCTCAGCACTTAATGTCTGTGAATGCTTAAGAAGTAAGAAGATAGAAAAACAGCCAAAAATTTAATAGAAGTTTTTTTATACTGGTTATAATATCCTCAGCAGTTACTCTTAATATATTTCCTATTATATTATAGAATCTCAAAGATTGGAATCTAATTTTATTCCAAAAATGACAGGAAGGATATTTTGGGAAAACTTAAATTTCTTCTTCTGACTCAACCTGTTGTTAAGAGTAAGCTTCTTCATGAGAAATCAATCTTTTCAGTGTTAACTTTTAAAAAAATGGAATCCACTCCCTCATTTGGCCTCAAGAAACCAGAAAGCATTCAGTTTTAGTTTAATTTTTGTGTGTGTGTGAAGACAGAGACTTATATGAAATAAATACAGACATGCTTTGTTTTATTATGCTATAATTTATTGCACTTCATAGATAATGCAATTTTCACAAATTGAAAGTTTATGGCAACCCTGCATTGAGCAAGTATATCAGCGCCATTTTTCCAACAGCGTTTACTCACTGTAAGTCTCTGTGGCACATTTTGGTAATTCTCACAATATTTCATACTTTTTCATTATTATATTTATTAAGGTGATCAATGATCTATTGTGTGTGTGTGTGTGTATATGTGTGTGTGTATATATATATATATATATATATATATATTTTTTTTTTTTTTTTTTTATTGACTTGAGAGAGAGAGAAGGGGAAACATCGATGTGACAGAGAAACATCAATTGGTTGCCTCCCGATTGGTTACTTCGACCAGGGATATAACCACAACCTGGGTATGTGCCCTGACTAGGAATTGGCAACCTTTCGGTGCATGGCACGTCACTCAACCAACTGAGCCATACCGGCCAGGGCAGTGATCAGTGGTCTTTGATTACTATTGTAATTGTTTGGGGGCACCACAACAGTGCCCATATAAGACAGTGTACTTAATTGATAAATGTTGTATGTGTTATGATTGCTCCACTGACTATTCACTCATCTCTTTCCCTCTCCGTGGGCCTCCTTATTCCCTGAGATACAATAATATTGAAATTAGGCCTATCAATAACCTCAAATGGCCTCTTTTTTTTCCCCTCTTTATTGATTTTAAAGAGAAAGGAAGGGAGAGAGAGATAGAAACATCGATGAGAGAGAACATCAGTTGGCTGCCTCCTACATGCCCTCCACTGGGGATTTGGCCTACAACCTTGGCATGTGCCCTGACCGTGAAATAAACTGGCAACCTCTTGGTGCATGGGTCGATGCTCAACCACTGAGCCACACCGGCCTGGCTCACAATGGCCTCTTAAGTGTTCAGATGAAAGGAAGAGTCACACATCTCTGATATGTGTGAGATGTGTGACTAAAGCTGGAAACAATTAAGCTCAGTAAGGAAGGCCTGTCCAAAGCAGTGATAGGCTGAAAGCTAGGCCTCTTGTGCCACTTAGTCAAGTTGTGAATGCAAAGGAAAAGTTCTTGAAGGAAATTAAAAGTACTACTCTAGTAAACACACAAACGATAAGAAAGTGGAACAGCCTTATTACTAATATGGAGAAAGTTCTAATAGTATAGATAGGAGATCAAACCAACTACAACATTTACTTAAGCCACAGCCTAATTCAAAGCAAGGCCCTAACTCTCCTCAATTCTGTGATGGCTAAGACAGGTAAGGAAACCACAGAAAAAATATTTGGAGCTAGCAGAGATTGCTTCATGAGGTTTAAGAAAAGAAGCTGTCTTCATAAAATAAAGTACAAGGCAAACAGCAAATACTGATACAGAAGCTGCAGCAAGTTATCCAGAAGACCTAGCTAAGATAATAAATGAAGGTGGCTACACTAAACAGTAGATTTTCAGTGTAGACAAAAGAGCCTTATCTTGGAAGGAGATGACATCTAGGATTTTGATGGCTAGACTTGGGAAGTCAAGGTTTGGCTTCAAAGGACAGGCTGGCTTTTGTTTAGGGGCTAATGCAGGTGGTGACTTTAAGTTGAAGCCAGTGCTCATTTATCATCTGAAAATCTTAGTGTCCTTATGTTATGCTAAATCTACTCTGCCTGTTTGTTATAAGTGGGACAACAAAGCCTGGATGACAGAACAGCTATTTGCAGCATCATTCACTGAATATTGTAAGCCCCTGTTGAGACCTAATGTTCAGCAAGAAAAGATTCCTTTCAGAATTATACTGCTCATTAACAATGCACCTGGTTACCCAAGAGCTCTGATGGAGATGTGCAATGAGATTAATGTTGTTTTCAAACTGGTTAACACAACATCCTTTCTATAGCTATGGATCAAGAAATAATTTCAACTTTAAAGCCTTACTATTTAAGAAATATATTTTGTGAGGGTATAGCTGATAGATTTGGACTAAATAAATTAAAAACCTTCTGGAAAGGATTCACCATTATGTATGCCTTTTAGAATATTCATGCCCTGGCTGGTTTGGCTCAGCCATTAACGTGTCGGCCCACAGACTGAAGGGTCACAGGTTTGATTCCTGGACAAGTGTTGTACCTGGGTTGCAGGTTCCATCTCCATCCCCCGTCAGGGTCATGTGGGAGGCAACCAATCAATGTCTCTCTCTGTCTCTCTCTCTCCCCCCCTCCCTTCTCCCTCCCTCACTCCTCCCCACCTTCCTCCCTTCTACTCTGTCTAAAGAATAAATGGGAAAATATCCTTGGGTGAGGATTAACAAAAAAGAATGTCCATGCCCTGGCCGGTTTGGCTCAGTGGTTAGAGCGTCAGCCCATGGACCAGAGAGTCCCGGATTCGTTTCCCACTGAAGGCACATACCTTGGTTGCTGTTTGTCCCCTGCCCCGGTTGGGGTTGTGTGGGTGGCCGCCAGTCGATGTGTCTCTCTCACGTCGATGTTTCTCTCTCTCTCTCTCTCTCCCTCTCCCTCTCCCTCCCACTCTTTCTGAAGATAAATGCAAAAATGTCCTCGGATGAGAATTAAAAATTTTTTTTTTTAAAAAGAATGCCCATGATTCATGGGAAGATTTCTAAATAGCAACTTTAGCAGGCATTTAGAAGAAGATGATTCCAACCCCAATGGATGACTTTGAAGGTTCAAAACTTCAGAGGAAGTAAGATGTGGTGGAAAGAACTAGAAGCAGAAGTGGAGCCTGAAGGTGTGACTGAATTGCTGGAATCTCATGTTAAAACTTTAACAGATGAGCCTGGCCGGTGTGGCTCAGTGGATTGTCTCATGGACTGAGGTCCCAGTTCGATTCCCAATCAGGTCACATGCCTGGGTTGCGAGCTCTATCCCCAGTAAGGGAGGGGCATGAAGGAGGTAGCCAACTGATGTTTCTCTCTCACATTGATGTTTTTCTCTCTCTCCCTAAAAAAGCAGTATTTAAAAATATATATATATATTTAAAAAAAACTTTTTAACAGTTGAGAGTCATTTCTTATGGAAGAGAAAAGAAAGTGGTTTCCTGAGATAGAATCTACTCCTGGTGAAGATACTATGACAATTGCCAAAATGACAATACTGGATATATAATAGTACATTAACTTAGATGATAAAGCAACTTCAGGGTTTGAGAGGTTTAACTCCAATTTTGAAAGAAGTTTTGCTGTGGCAAAGAGCTATCAAATACTATAAAGAAACTGTGAAAGGAAGTGTCAGTTGATACACCAATCGTCAGTGTCTTATTTAAAGAAATTGCCACAGTTGCCCTAGCCAGTTTGGCTCAGTGATTAGAGTTGACCCTCGGAGCAAGGAATCTCGGGTCCATTTCCAGCCAAGGGCACATACCTTAGTTGTGGTTTGTCCTGGCCCCAGTCGGGGTTGTACAGGAGGCAGCCAGTCAATGTGTCTCTCTCACATCGATATTTCTCTCTCTCTTCCTCTCTCCCTCCCTCCCACTCTGAAGACGAATGGAAAAATATCCTCCGGTGAGGATTATAAAAAAGAAAAATTCCCACAGCCACCTCAACCTTCAGCAACCACTACCTTTGGTCAGTCAGCAACCATCAACATTGAGGCAAGACCCTCCACCAGCAAAAAAGTTACTGACTGGTCCTGGCAAGTTTGACTCAGCCATTAGAGCATCAGTGTGCAGACCAATGAGTCTGAGGTTCGATTTCGGTCAAGGGCATGTACCTCAGTTGTGGTTCGTCCCTGGCCCTGGTCAGAGTCATGCAGGAGGCAACCAGTCATTGTGTTTCTCTCACATCAATGTTTCTCTCTTTCTCCCCCTCCCTTCCACTCTATCTGAAGAGAAATAGAAAAATGTCCTCGGGTAAGGGTTGAAAAAATAAATGGTTACTGACTGGCGGAAGGCTCAGAGGATGGTTAGCATTTATTAACAATCAAGTTTTATTTGTTTATTTGTTTTTTTAATCTTCACCTGAGGATACTTTCTCCATTGATTTTTTTTTTTTTTTCCTTCAGATAAAGTGGGAGGGAGGAGGGGGAGAGAGCAGAGAGAGAAAAAGCTTGTGAGAGAGACATTGATTGGTTGTCTCCCACACAACCCCGTCTGGGGCTAGGGAGCAAACCTGCAACCAAGGTTGGTTCCCTTGATCAGAAATCGAACCCAAGACTCTTTGGTCCTTGGGCCCACACTCTCTAGTCACTGAGCCAAACCGGCCAGGGTAACAATAAAGTATTTTTTAATTAAAGTATGTATATTATATTTTTAGACATGCTATTGCATACTTAATGGACTACATAAACACAACTTTTATATGCACTGGGAAACAAAAAAAATTGTGTTGATCTGCTTTATTGCAATATTCACTTTGTTTGTATGGAACCCTACCCACTGTATTTCCAAGGTGTGCATGTATATGTGTGTGTGTATAGGGGTGGTAGTTTATTAAACATAAAAAAGTAGCCTAGTATGTATTAAGAAATTAGTAAATATTGGGATTAGTTGATGTTAACAGATCTGTGAATAAAATTGAGCTTTGGTGGTTGAGTATAAATATAGACTTAGGTTAACTGAGAAAGCTTGAGGAAGATTACCATTAATGCTTTCCCATGTAATCTACAAGCTCATGCTTGATGTTGGTCAGACTATATGAAAGTGTTGATCCATGTTACTTTTAAAACCAGCAGCAATTGTTATTTTTTTTTAGAGAAGTGTTCTTCAGAATTTCTTGAAAAAGTGAATTTCCCTGATACATGAAAATATTTGATATACATAGCTGTGGAAAACACATTTGTTGTTCATACTATGAAGGCTATTTACATAAAATTGAATATGATTATTTCTTTTCATGTTAACAATGTGTAAAACATGGAGAAAGGCAAAAGAGAAGCAACAGGTTTTCTTTGTTTTTTGTTTTTTGTTTTTGGTGTTTTAATCCTCAACCAAGGACATTTTTCGATATTTTGTTCAGATAGAGTGGGAGGGAGGGAGGGAGGGAGAGAGAGAGAGAGAGAGAGAGAGAGAGAGAGAGAGAGAGAGAGAGAGAGAGAGAGAGAAACATCGACGTGAAAGGAACACACTGAGTGGTTGCCACCCACACGACCCAACCAGGGCCGGGGCCAAACTGCAACTGAGGTACATGCCCTTAGCAGGAACCGAACCCGTGTCTCTCCGGACTGGAGACCAGTGCTCTAACTGCTGAGCCAAACCTGCCAGGGCTTAGTTTGTATTTAAGTTAACATGTTTGTTTGTTTTTAATTTTTTTTAAATGCTCACCTGAGGACATTTTTTCATTTTTTGTTCAGATAGAGTGGGAGGAAGAGAGAGAGAGAGAGAGAAACATCGACGTGAAAGGCACACATCGAGTAGTTGCCACCCACATGACCCAACCAGGGCCGGGGGCAAACTGCAACCAAGGTACATGCCTTAGCGGGGACCGAACCCGGGCCTCTCCTTACTGCAGGCCGATGCTCCAACCGTTGAGCCAAACTGGCCAGGGCTTAGTTTGTATTTAAGTTTACATGTTTTATTATATCATCTGCTACTGAAACAGGATCTGAGATGTCAGTTATAAGAAGTTTGGCCCTGGCCGGTTTGGTTCAGCGATTAGAGCGTCAGCCTGCGGTCCGGAGAGACCCGGGTTCGGTTCCCGCTAAGGGCATGTACTTCGGTTGCAGTTTGTCCCCGGCCCTGGTTGGTCGTGTGGGTGGCAGCTACTCGATGTGTCCCTTCACGTCGATGTTTCTGTCTCTCTTTCCCTTCCTCTCTCTCCCTCCCACTCTATCTGTACAAAAAAAATGGAAAAATATCCTCGGATGAGGATAAAAAAAAAAAGAAGTTTGGATGGTGGTCAGTTGTCCCAGATTACAGTTGTCATATTCCTTAACAAGACTAACAGGTTCTTATTTTTACTCCTGTTCATGGAACTGTTGTCCTTATTTCACTAGCAAACCTAGTGGAATAGAGGCTAGTTATCTCACTCTATTTTAGCTGATAAAAAATGTATTGTCCTTTCTGAGCTCATTTGGTTGTTGTTTATCTACATATTTAACCTATTTATGATGTAGAGTTTTTTCTTGTTTTCCTTTTTTAAAAACTCACTATTAAGTGAGAATTATGGTTTTTTGAAATAGAAATGTATCCTCTTTGCTTGTTTCATTAATCAGTAAGTATCTTGAAAAAGGGAAATGCCACTTCTGTAGAGAAAACACCATAGTTAAAGAGGACTCTGAGCTCCTACAGAGACTGACTGCCTTGGTTAATAGAGAAATCAAAGGGAAAATGAGGCAAACTGGTCCTTGAGGTGTAGTAATCAAAATTTATTCCTTATTAATGCTTCAGGTCATAAGAATAACATGCAAAAGTTTGTTTTGAATTAATTTAAAAGTGATATTAAGTAATAAAATAACTCAAAATCTATGAAGAGAAAATATAAAAAGACAGCGTGAATCATCAGTTTTTCATCTTTTTGGAGTTTTTCTTCTATTTTGTGATTATAGAAATATCTTATCAGTGACTGTATTATCAATTACATGCATTGAGTTGTGTTATATAAGGCTTGGCAAAAGTAGGTTTACAGTTGTGAGTACACGATAGTTCATTCTTATATAATTATTTGTTAATTATTGTGTTTCTTCTTATTATTAACCTACTTTTGCCCACCCCTGTGTATGACTCAGATAAGCTTGCCCAAGAATCTGTATAAACCATTCATAAAGTTGGAAAAAAAAAAAACTGAATCTGTTTAGCTGATGATAAGTTAATATCATCTTTACCCAAAATGACTTAACTTTAAAAAAGTAATTTGAATAAAGTACACTTTATCAAAGAATCTTGAACATCCTAGTTTGAATAAATTACAAATATAAGGTGGAAGGAGACTTGATTTGGGGTGTTAAACATATAATACAATATACAGATGACGTTGTAGAATTGTATACCTGAAATCTATATAATGAATGTCACTTTAATAAAAAAAATAAAATATAAACTTTAAAAAATATCAGGTTAGGTACTTAGATAATAAGCATAATTTTAGATAAGCAATACAGAGAGTAGTTAAAAGTGCAGACTCTGGAATCAGAATACTTGGTTCAAATCTCATCTCTGCCACTTACAAAGTTTATGACCTTAGATAAGTTATTTAGTCTCTCTGGATGTCAGTTGCTTCTTCATTAAAAATATGGGGCTAATGTTAGAGCCTGCCTTACATTGTTGTGAGTAACAAAGGATATAAAGTGTTTAGAAAGTACCTGACTAGCTCTCATCCTCATCATCATTATCCAGTTCCCATTCACAGGTGACAGTTCCTGGTTGCATTTATAGTATGGAATTCTAGTGGTAGTCTTAATTTTTTTTTTTAAATATTTACCTGTAAAGATAATTTATTCAAAATGGACCACAGTTTGTTCTTTTTTTTTCTGTTTGTTTTAATTTATATGCAGTTACATTTTAAATGTACATGCAATTCAGTTAGACTCAGATTCCCTTTTTACAGTGTTTCTTAAACACTGTCCTACAATTGTACATTTTCATATGGTCATACAGAGCCATTTTGTGGGTTGGGCAGCTGTGAATTATGGAAATTCTAATTAATACAAATTTTGTCTTTAGTAAAAACAGGCCCTGGACAGCAGTTAAACCACAGTGAATTGGCAATTCTTCTAAACCTACTACAATCTAAAACAAGTGTTAATATGGCTGATTTTGTCCAAGTGTTGAACATTAAGGTAAACTCTGAGACTCAGCAGCAGCTAAATAAAATAAACCTTCCTGCTGGAATTTTGGCAACAGGTGAAAAACAGACAGAGCCATCAACACCACAACAGGAGTCTTCAAAACCATTGGGAGGAATTCAACCTTCTTCTCAGAGCGTCCAGCCTAAAGTGGAGACTGATGCTGCCCAGGCAGCTGTACAGAGTGCATTTGCAGTTCTGTTGACTCAATTAATAAAGGCTCAGCAGTCAAAGCAGAAAGATGCGCTACTAGAAGAAAGAGAAAATGGATCGGGACAGGAAGCATCGTTACAACTCAGGCCACTTCCAGAACCTAGCACTCCAGTATTGGGTGAGTGTGCAGATAGCGGACCACTAGTGTAGGTAGCTGCATTCACACTGTTTTCTTGCTGTTGATGATTATCTGTAATGTGTGTTGTTTAATAGCATTGCTAGGAGATATCTGAAAATTATCAGGTCTTAGGTTAGTTTTTTAATGGTTTTCTTCTACAAATTGATTCTTTAGCAAATTATCCATGTGTGATGTAACTTATTATATAATAAGTGTCATAGATTCTTCTCATGTAAACCTGTGGTTAAGAAATAATATTTTACTCCAGCTACAACAGGATGGTTGACTAAGGCAGAAACTGCATATACAGCAGCTTTTGTTCTTCAAGCAATAAACAGGTATATATGAGATAATCTTTGAAAAGTCAAATATAATACAAATTTTTGGTCACCATACACTTAAATGATAGTAAGCAATGGTAGTAAGCAATATTAGGACTTATATACCTTATTCCTTTTTCTTTAATTTTTTTTGGGTGGGGCAGACAGAGATGGAACTTCTAATGCTCTTTAGGACCACCCATAGGAAAGAAACATTAACTATTTTGAACACTGAGTTTTCCACAGTAAATTTTTAATCTCTTTTTTTGCTTTGTTTCACTTAGGGCAAAATGACCTCATCCAGCACCAAGACATGAGGATATTAGAGCTCACACCAGAACCAGACCGGCCACGTATTTTGCCTCCTGATCAACGACCTCCTGAACCACCTGAACCACCACCAGTCACTGAAGAAGATCTGGATTATCGGACAGAAAACCAGCATGTACCCACCACTAGTTCTTCGTTAACTGACCCTCATGCCGGAGTAAAAGCAGCCCTGTTACAGTTACTTGCTCAGCATCAGCCCCAGGATGATCCTAAAAGAGAAGGTGGTATTGATTACCAGGCAGGTGACACTTACGTACCCACTTCAGACTACAAGGACAATTTTGGATCCTCTTCTTTCTCTTCTGTTCCTTATGTTAGTAATGACGGTCTAGGAGGTAGTTCTGGTCTACCATTGGAACGACGTAGCTTCATTGGAAACTCAGATATTCAGTCTTTGGATAACTACAGTACTACTTCATCTCATTCTGGTGGTCCAACACAGCCTTCTGCCTTTTCCGAGTCGTTTCCCAGTTCACTAGCTGGATATAGAGACATTTACCTCAATACTGGTCCCATGTTGTTTAGTGGAGACAAGGACCATAGATTTGAATATAGCCATGGTCCCATTGCAGTCCTGGCGAACAGCAGTGACCCTTCCACAGGGCCAGAGAGTACTCATCCTTTGCCAGCAAAGATGCACAACTATAACTATGGCGGTACCTTACAGGAAAACCCGGGGGGGCCCAGCCTCATGCATGGACAGACTTGGACTTCTCCTGCCCAAGGACCTGGATATTCACAAGGATACAGGGGACACATTAGCACATCAGCTGGCAGAGGTCGAGGCAGAGGACTACCATACTGAGTATCAGTTTTTCCTCAGGCACATCATTTTTATCTGGAAAGACTTTTCTAGTTGCAATTTAAGGCAGCAATCCAAGAGACTTGAATAATATTAATTCAACAACAGCTTTATTTTTATGTGGAAAGGGTCTTGCATACAATAGTTTAAAAAAAGACCAAAAGAGAAAAAAAAAAAAAAAGAAAACCTTTGCTTAATTCATGCTGTTCTAAAAACTAGATCTTTTGATTGTACATCTTCACAAATTCTAGTTAACAATTTTATTTTGTATTCTTGCAGTTTTAAGTGGATGCTAATATTAGGGACATAAAGTCCTTTATGGCCCTCTTGCAGATCTGAACTATGCACATTTGTGCTTTTTTTTGTAAGTTTGGACCAACTTTTATGTAACAACCAACCAACCCCTCCCTCCTCCAGTTTTACAACAATCAGAAAGGGCACTGATTTATTTGATATTTTCTTTTTACAAAGCTACCTTTAGTCAAAGGTCACTGTCAGTCTCTGCACCTGCTTTCAGTGTTATTGTGAAAGGTGTACTTTGTGCTCATTTCAGAAAATAAAACACAACCTTTCTCTTGATGCAACAGTTTTATAAAAAAAAAAAAAATGGTCAATGTTATTTTTGTTTTATTTTGCAGATTATCATAACCTAGCAAAATACATTCAAATGAAATAGTGGGTTTTATATAAAAAATATGGGTGGGGTGGGAAGGGTAAGTAAGTGCCTTAACAGGTAAGCTTAAGGTCTGAAAAAGTAGTTAACTTTTACACCCATTTGTCTTTTAAAGGGAATCAATAGATTGTATTGAAGAGGAAGGGAGTGGGTGTTTAGAGTCTGCCTGTTCAGTTCCTTTTAGATCCATTCTCTGCCTATCACACTTTCTCCTTTTCTGCCTTTGGGCTGTGTCACCTTCCACTACCTTCTCTTGTAAAGGGAGTGAGAGTAAAGAAAGGGAATAGAATGCAATCAGTACTTTGTTACTCCCATAAGTTCTAAAATGTCATTTAAATGGTTGAAAGTAATAGCTTCAATGAGCATTTCGGAGCACCTTTACTTTCAGGCTGCCAGGTTGTTTCTGTTTCCTTTTACCATGGATAATTAATTGGAGGGCATTAGTATAGATGGGCAAGGTATAGTAACATTTACATAATTCTATTAACTTTCATGGGGGTGGGGTGGCAAACACCATATTCTAAGTAAAAATTGCCATTTTAAGGAAAAAATGAACTCTGTTCCCTTGCTAATTAGAAACATTGCCTAGATTAAATTTATTGCCACAAAGAAAAAGAGAGAGAAAATCTCTTATCTTCTCTCACCTTCTGAGAGGTTTATTAAGACTTCCGCCAGACTTAGAACAGCTTTCGTTCATATCAACATTTTTTTTTTTTATTAAAAGCAACAAAGAATGATGGACAAATTCTTATTTAAGCTGTAATGTGTCAAATCTAATGTTTTGTACACACACAGAGATATAAATTATAACAATTTTAGAAAGGAACCAAAGGTAAATAACCAGTGTTTTCGGATCACTAAATGGAAAAATGGACTTTGGAAATGAGCGTTGTGCCAATTAACCATTTTGTTTTAACTGTTATCTCCCAGTAACTGATTTTTTTTTTTTTTTTTTTTTTTGGAATCTTAAATTGAAACAACTGTAACTTAATGGAAATTGCCCCAGTTCTAAAGTCAGTCTTTTAACCCTGTGCCCTCTATCTGATTTGTGAACCTTTGTTAAAATGCTGTATGGGAAGCATTCTAGCTTGGTGAGAGTAAGAATATTTTTATGTAGATAATTTACCATTTTACTGCTATAAAAATGATGTCAGTTGACCATTTTATTTTTTGATGGATTTTTTTTTGTTGGGGAGAAATGAAAGAAAAAATTATTTTGCTTTTATTTGGATATTAAGTACTAACAACTTATGATGAAACTACATTGCAGGAAGTGAAGAAATACTTTGAAATTTTGCGAAATAGCTACAGTATTTAAGTATCTGAAATTTTAATATGGTGAGTCTTAGAGCTTTAGACTTTCCTATTAGTGACAGCATCTAAGTTATTCTTAACAGTCACACTTGTTAATTCTGCTGACCATAGTAGCTAACATAAAATTGAAGATATTTATGTGACATGAATAGCTTGTGTTTTAAAAATTAAATATTTTATATAAAATTGAACTGTGTTTGGACAGTTTTTCTAATTAAACCTTTCAGATATGTATTTATGTTGCAAGAGTGGCTGGGAGGATAGAGACATTGTTACTTGAATATTGCCCTAAGAGAGCATTGATTGAGAGACATACAAATATTTTATGCACTACTTAGAAATAATGTTGCCAATTAAACCACAACACAATTCTAAATAAAGTGAATCAATTTTAAGGTACTTCCCAAATTCAGATTATGTGAAAGAATGTGTCTTAAAATCAATGAAATATGATAGTAAAAATCTTATAGCGTTATTCCATACCATTTAATATTTTAGTGAATTTGGACTAATAAAAAAGAGCAGGGTTGGGAAATTGCTAATTCTGTAGGTTATAATAATTGCAGTAATCACTGGGTATTCTGGAATGAAATCTAAGGAACATAAAATATCGCTTACATTTTTTGGGGGGAAAAAACTGGTAAGTCGGATTGCAAAAAAGATGAAAACAGAAAAGATTGACCTATTAAAAAAGAAGGACATACTTGTCTCCCATGTTAAATCCCTTTGTTTATTTCATGACACAGCAAATTTTTCTGCATGCAACTCATTGTGTTTCCCATCTTTAGTCCATTATGTGTTGGAGAGTTGCAGTCACCCAGGTAATTTTAAAAGACTAACTTTAAGGGGTTTATTGATTAAAATACTTTTTAGAATGTGAATTCAGATAGTTCAGTAGCTGTGATTTAGAGCTTCATTCTGTCATCAAATATATATTCAATGCCTACCAAGTGCCGAGTACTATTCTAATACTTGGAATACATTGATATACATAAAAGGCATTAAGTCGTACTTTTAGTAGGCTGACAGTGAACAAGGAGATTTAAAAAGTGTCTGGAAAAGTTGGTGGTATTTGCCACTTGAAATAGAGAAATAAGGTTCTGGTAAGAAAGAACAACTGGAAACTCGATGGTGAAAACAAATTTTAAGTTGTATCTAGCTGGTTTGCAGCAAGCCAATTTATAGGAAATATCAAGATTTCTTGAGAAAAATGGAAGGTAAATGGGTTAAATTCTTCAAACTAATTTTACTGTATTTCTGAGTTAAAATTTTGCTGTATTTGCTGTGACTTTAATCCAATTTTGATCATTTTTCATGCTAGGTCCTTTATTTACTGTTTGTTTGTTTTTTAAAGTAAATTTGAATAATAGTTTTGAATATATATGTACTAATTCCCTGGGATATTGGTCTTGATATTTTAAGTCTGAACAGGATGTTCCAGTAATTTAAAACCATCTGGTCCATCTCTTCACTTTACTGCTAAGAAAGGTGAGACTTAAGAGAGATGGATTGCCAGTCCTTGTTCCTTAGCCATGTCTAAATTTGGTAGTAAATACTTAATTTTTCAATAATAAAATTGATTGTTAAAATATCTGTGTTTCAGTAAAACAAAAAATAGTTAAATTTAGAAGACTGAACTAGTTTAAGTCACATGGCTTTAAAAAGTCAACCTAAAAACAATTTAGAGAAAATAGGAAAATAAACAATTTTATTAAGCTTAATTAGGGGCCTTTCTTTAAAGACTGCTTCATGTGCAGATAGTCTTTAACAAGGAGGTTCATTCCCCCCCGCCTTTTTAAGACAATAATTACTTAAATAGCCAACAATTAGATAATAAGACTGAATCATTAAAGTATATTTTCTATTTGTAGGAGGAAGATTGATATCAGTAAGACTGCAAACATTTCTATTTTTTCAAGGTTTTATAATTTTTAAGTTGTTTTATAAGGGGAGCAATGGTTTACCACGTACCAGAAGCCTTTCAGATACTTAATTAAACTATTTCTAGTTTAATTAAAAATAAAAACTTTGCCCTGGCCGGTTTGGCTCAGCAGTTAGAGCGTCGGCCTGCGGTCCTGAGAGACCCGGGTTCGGTTCCCGCTAAGGGCGCGTACCTCGGTTGCAGTTTGTCCCCGGCCCTGGTCGGTTGTGCGGGTGGCAGCCACTCGATGTGTCCCTTTCGCATCAATGTTTCTCTCTCTCTCTGTTCCTCTCTCCTCCCCCCGCCCCCGCTCTACCTGAACAAAAAATGGAAAAATGGCCTCGGGTGAGGATAAAAAATAAATAAATAAAAAATAAAAGCTTTAACAAATACTATCAAGGGATCCAGTTGAAGATGGGGAAAACAAAATTTTAATCATAATAGAAATAACTTTCCTTTGAACTATATAGACTAAAATTTTGTGGGTTTTACTCCTTTCTACATATCAAATGCCCCATTTAAAAAAGAATTTTCTGGCCCTTGCCAATGTGGCTCAGCGGTTAGTGTCAGCTGGCACACAACACGCTCACAGATTTGATTCGGGTCAAGGCCATGTACTTGGGTTGCAGGCTCCATATTGGGCCTGTTTGGTCAGGGTTCATGTGGGAGACAACCAATCTCATCTCTTTTCTGCCCTGCCCTGCCCCCCCCCCTCTCCTCTTCTCTTCTTTCCTCTCTCTCGCGCGCTCTCTCTCTCTCTCTCGCTCTCTAAAAATCAATGGAAAAAATATCCTCAGGTGAGAATTAACCAAAAAAACACTTTTTTTCCCTGGTTCTAACTGCATTCAAAGTGCGGCTGTGTAGTGAATCACCCTTTAGTTTTTTTCACAATTAAGTTAATTTGTTGTAAAGTTGTGCTTTTTCCCCCCCACAAGAACTCTTAGTAAAGTTTTGTAACTGTTAAATCTATTTTTTTTTTTTTTTTAAGTCTGTATTTGATAGTCTGTAAAGAAACTATCATAAGAATTCCAGGTCATTTTTAGCCTTGTTTTCTTCTTGCTTATTTGCAGAACAAATTTATGAATAATCTTACCTGATAAAGATGACTTGTTATCCGCTCTGGCATGTTTTATTGACAAAGCTTAAAAATCTGGAACCTTTTTTCCTTTTTATATTTGTACGTATTTGAAAATATAGGAACACAAAGATAACCACCACTAATACTTCACCTTTTGATGAATGTATGTGAATGCATATCTCTTTTTTTCTTAAAACAATGCGATTATACTTTAATGTTTCTTTATTTGATATATTGAGAACATCCTATGTCAATTTTATTCTTTTTAATGGTTCTAAATTATTTTATGGAAGAACCATAATTTAACAATTTCTTATTGCTGTACACAAAATATTTCTAATTTTTCTGTTATAAAAATGTGATTAAAATCCACATAAATACATATATACAAGCATAGATAATTTTCTTGGAATTGCTGGTCTAAAGGGTGCACTTCTAAACTTTTGCTTCTGAATTTCTAAACTTCAAATTACCCTCAGGAATAGTGTACAAGTTTTACATTTTTATTACTTCCCCTTTTCATTTAGCTGTGTTAGGTATTTAAAATGTTTAAGTCTTTGCCTGTTTGACATCTTGTTTTAATTCATATTTCTTTGATTATTAGTGAAATTCATTATTTCATGTTAGCCAGTTGTCTTTTGTTTATTATTCATGTGCTTAATTATTAGGTATTTATCGCTTTCTCTGAAGAGCTCTTTATATAAGGAAGTGATAGCCTTTTTAAAATTATAATCTTAATTCTGGGGATGTGTTTTAATATAGGAAAATTTAATAATTTTATGTAGTTCTGTTCATCTCTTGGTTTCTTCTTAGAAAAGCTTTCTCCACTTCAAGATTAATTTTCACACAGGTGTTATTTTACTTCTTTAACTTTCTACTTTTAATTGTAAGCCATTCTAGAATTTATTAGATGTGAGGTAATGATCTAAATTTACACTTTTTTGAATGGCTATACTAATTAGGCCAACAGCATTTGTTAAATCAATCAATCCCTAGTTGTTTTCTTCTTAATCATTCCAGGATATGTTTTTATTGATTTGAGA